AACCAATATTTTATACTTTCATACTCCTAAACTTTGTTGTAGTAAATAGAGTCTATTAGACAGAGACTTGAAAATATTCTGAAAAAGAGGATGGAATCATTCTCCTTAAGAATCATTTCATGAAAAATACCCCTGAAAAACGAGCAGACTTTTGAGGGCTACAGAGAGGCACAGAAGGAAATGCTGGAAGACAAGAGGAGATGAACAGTACTTCAAACTGAGATTTTAATTTAGAACTAGATATGAGAAGCAACTACCAAAAAATGAAACTTTGTGGGGGGGGAGAAATTTAAACAGAAATTTTAGAAAATCCACCATAGATTTTATGATGACACATGGCCCCGTACTATAGCTCACTGGTTATTTATTATTATTATTTGGGAGAAGAAAACATTGAAATAGGATGGGGAAGGGGGAGGAGGAAGTAGCAGCACTACCCTAAAACTAAGCCTGTGTCTCAAAGAGCTGCTCTTTATATAATCTCACTTAATGAGGAAACATATCTAAAGATCATGACAAGTAGGCACAATTGTACAGTAGTCATTTTAAACTTTAATGACTTTCCTTAAGCAATTTCCCATTTGTTCTGGATTTCTAAATATCATGAATTCTTTTCTATAAATTGTTCAAGACAATTTTAAACACAGTTCTTAAGGTTTTTCATTAGTGTTTTGGGGGCTTATAGTGTTGAACATCTAACCTACAACTTTTTGTAAAGGGCTTTAAGATTATGCATGCATGTGTGTGTGGGTGTCTGTGTACACCGTCTTTGGAAGAAACCTCTTTTAATCCTCACAGATCAGATGCTTTTCTTCCTCTCATGCCTTTCCTTTCATGCTCCTATACCCTCTTTCCTCTATTTTTTAAGTTCAGATATTTTAAAAAATTCTTAGTGAAGTGATTACAACAAAATAATTATTTTTATCACGACTACCCTTCATTTTGATGAAAACAAATATTTTATTTTATTACCAAATTCAATAAAATACATTCACCACTTTGAAAATCACAAAGTTCATCCAAAATATTTAGGTAAATCGAATTAAAAGTGCTAAACTTACATAATTCTCCCAAATAAAACATATGTCCTAAGGTGAAAGAAAGAACATCTGAACTAGGCATAAGTTTTTTCAAAGTGACTATTATAAAAGGAAAACATATATTTAAATGTATCCTTTATGAATTATTTATACATGTATTTTCATTAATCACTTGTGTTTCACCTGGGCATATTTCACATAATTTTTCTATATTTTAAATTTATATTTTCTTCATGGTATTTTAAATAGCACTTATCATTTGAGACAGACTTTGTCATAATCACTATAACCATTCTTTATTTTTTTTGTTGCCCCAAAGAAAGCTATAGCATCTCACCTTTTGATCTATCTTGCAATTAAATTGGCCATGACAGTCAATGGGATGGCCATGACAGTAATGGGATTCATCTAACTCTTGTGAAAAGTATGTGTTCAAGGAGTTTTTAATAAGTTGAACCTTAAGTATCTTCATTATAATTACTTTTTTTACTTTGCAGAAAAAAGACATATAAAATATTACCCATTTCAAATATCCAATTCAAATTTATTTTAAAAATAAATCCTTTATTTCACATATTAAAAATAATACATTGACTCTCCTATTCCTTTTGACTTAAAATTTGAAAAGCAATGACATTTGACTGGAGTAATTTTAAAACTAACAAGCTGATTTCTGCTCAGAAAATGCTTCTGCCAATGTAGAGTACTTGTCTCCTTTAGGTACACCTTGGATGATCTGGATTCTGAAAATTCAAGTTACACCCAAGATTCCATTCCCTTGTAGTTTCTCATCTGGACTGCAGACATGTAGGACCTGTCTGAAAAAGACCCAGGGATCAGGTGGAACTCAACCAGTGAATCATCCCTTTAGTGCAGTGAAACCCTAGAGGGAAGAGCAGGGAGGATGTATGGGTTCTTAGGAAAATGTAGGCTACTGGCAGAAAATGACAGCTCTATTAATAAGATCTAAGGTGCGACTCACATAATTGTCCTAATTTTTAAGATTGATGCGGAATGTGAAGCATTTCTTTACGTTGGTGACTGGTCCCAATAAATGCTTCAAGTGTACAGGGCTGCATATGGTTTTCGAATATGATTTTTATAAAGAAGGTGGAGATCCCAACTCACTCTAACATGTCTATATATGTGTGTGTGTTGGAGTGTGTGCCTTAGTGCTTTCAGGGAATTATCTTGACCTAGAACCTGGGCTGAACAAAGCAGCCTCAATCTGAGGAACTAACTGGCATCATGAAACCATCAGGTGTCTTTCTGCTTCTCTCTCTGGCTCTTTTCTGCTTCTTCTCAGGTGAGTTTTTTTTTTTTTTTTCTTAAAATTAAGATCCCTTATATATATATTGAACTGGTGAACTGGAGATGACAAGTGTAGTTGTCTACTATATTTCAAAATTCTAACAATTTTGATATAAAAGACCAATTCTAGGAGGTCATGATGATAATGATGATTGTGATGAGGAAAAGTATGTTGGTAATAATAATAAAAATAACAGTTATTTGTTGAGCATATGCTATATTCTAGGCATGTACTAAGAAGGGCTTTTATACATCATCTCCAGTACTCATAATAAAAAGTATTTGTAACCCTATTCCATGTCTAAGAAACTGTGGCACAGGAAAGTTAAGAAAATTGCCAAAGGACTTGCAGTTTTTTTTTAAGTAGAATTGGAATTTGAATCTAGACGTAACAATTGATGTTTGTTCCATGGAACTAGTGTGAAGGATGAAAAATTGCATTCAATATTGGTTTTTGTGATTTCTAAGGCAAACAAATGCTTCTTTATCCTTAGTTATGATTTCAAAGGGACTCAAATAATTGAAATTAAAACAAGGAGAAAAATGGAAACTTAATGAGGAAATCCTTAAAAAGATGCCAGTGAACCTTAGAATGAAGAAACATACATGTTGCTGGTGAACTTCTTCAAGTAGCAAAATATCCTTGACCATGTTAATGAGGTTCAAAGGACAATCAGACTTCATGGTTATGATTTCATCATAGGACCATCAAATAAATAGGGCCATTATTTCTGTTTCTTCCTTCCTTGTTATTCTACTCTATCATGTTATAGTGGACAAACCACATGCTAGAATCTCCAGGGCAAGAACTAGTTCTTTTTTTTCCCTATTAACTGGAGAAACATTGTACTTCTCTGAGATATTTTTTGTTAGTAAAATGCTAAAAATGAGAGCAAGCCTTGGGACCTTTTGTGTCTGAGCTATCATTTTCTGTGACAGTAAGCAGACTGAAATGTAGATGCAGAAATAATTTTTCAATAAGATAGTTGATAAAGAAGCCATTGTTCATGGCAGATAGTCATATTTACATAAACAAACGTGTTTAGAAATATGAAAAAAAATGAATAAAAGATTACTGTACTATCCTGGAATAAACTTCACTACTAAAGACAAATAATTTTAATGGTTATTTCAAACAGTTGCTAAGATGTTGGCAGAAAAAAAAATAGATCTGACTGTCAAATTTTAGTTGCAAAGAAAGTCTAAGAAATCAGTTGCTATCCTCTGCCACTTCTTCACTTAAGTGAACTGATCTTTAACAGGATCTGTTGACTATTTCATTAACAAACCAAAGCATGGATGCTTGGTAGACATACCAGGTGGGATTTGGGCAGACATAGTGTGTAAAGGACTTTTGAAACATACAAAAGTGAATTTCAGTCCTGGCATTTTCATTTTATAGTCATGTGATCTTTCTGAACCTTATTTTCCTCAGATTAACATAGGGATATAGAAAGATTATCTCTGCATGAGAAATCAAATCATAAAAATGCACACAAAATACTTAATATAGTAGAAGAGACATAGCAAGTGCTTCACATCTATTAATATCACAGCCATTATTAAAATTTAATAAAAAGAGCACTAGATTGAACTCAGGGTATTAATTTTGCTTCTGCTTTGCCAGTTCCTATATATGAGACATTGAGACATTGGATGGATCTTGCCTTTTCTGTTCATGGTGAACTGACTAAAAATTGTAATAGTTCATTTTCCTTGACCATAAAAATCTCTGAGAGTAATTAGAAAATATAAACCCCTCAGGCCCTATTTTGTCTCATACAATGGGATTTTTGAGGGATTGCTTGTCATGAATCAGTGAAGTTGGTAATCACTACTAAAAGTACTCAGTAACATCCTTTCAAATTTAAAAAAGACTTGTTCTCTCCTTAACCCCATGAATAGAGCTTCCATTCTAGGAATGTTCGGTGGCCCTCCCATAAGTGTTGGCCAGCATAGGAGACAGATTGCACTAATCCGCACTGTGTCTCACTGAGGTGGTGTTGGGCTTCTGTGGGAGAGGTGCTGTGAAAAGGAATCCCCAGAAATGGCCGCAGATCAAAACTTAGCAGCCTATACCAGAACTGGATCTAGGATTTTCTTTATTTCAGTATTTTAAACTGTTGAGCTAATTGGGTACAATCTAAAATCACACAAATATTAAGAGGGAGAGAAACAAGACCATATATATGGGCTCTTTGTCAGGAATTTAGAGATATATAGAAGGAGAAATGAATCACAGAAAAGAGAATGAGTTGGTCCTTACCATCTATATTTGGGCCAAGTCTTAAAAATTGAGCAGTTATAAATACAAAGAACAATTGAAAAACTTCATCCCTTTCCCAGTTGTCTGTAACAAAGCCTTTTGGGAGGAATGGTATGGAGTGAACCTTGGAGTCTCAATGTTAGAAAAGCCTTCCCTATCCTACTTCTCCAAGGTGAAACCAGAGATGGGAAGGTTTTCCCCATGTAAATTAGTGACTGGCCAGGACTGTCACATGCATGTCCACATCCTTAACCCATTTTCTGCCACCCCTCCTGAAACTCTAACAAATGTTGCCTCGTTACGTCCATACCTTTACATCACCTCTCCAAGAAATGAGGAGGTGACAACATGCTGTGACTTCTTGAGATATCTAAGAACCAGGAATGGGTATTAGGGATTTCCTAATTTTATAAATACTATTTTTACATTTCTGAACTATAGGGTTTGAATTTGTGCTTTTTTTTTTTTTTCAGGTGTCATCAGTCAAGGAGAACAGGTCAGTGCCTACTTTTATCTGTTGTTTCGACCTGCGTTGGGGGTCGTGCTTGACTAGGTCTTCACTGGCCAGAATGAGGTTTATCTATGGGTGACTGAGCAAAAACAATGAATAGGCAGAATTCAGCAGAAATTACTATTTTTTAACTACAATCTTTCTGTTAGTATACATTTGCCGGTTTTCAGTTTTAAAGATCCTAAACACACCTTGTCACATTTTTTCAGAGTAGGGTAAATAAAAATAAGATAGATTTGAGATAAAATCTATCACTGATTTCATTGTGTGATGTTGGGCAAGTTAGCTTTCTGAGCTACAACTTCCACAATTATAATTGTGTGATTCTATTACTTTCTTAATAGAATTGTAGTTATATTTAACTCACAAAAACCATGTGAAAGCACTTGGGAAACCACAAAAGGTTATATATAAATCAATTGTTGATTAGTAACTAACAGGTTCTGAAGGAGTTAGGACACAGGTTAATTATTTCCTTTTCAGAAATAATTAAAAGTTGGCAGGAAACTAGCTTAAGGTTCTATATTGACAATACACAGATTGGTTTGCTCAAACTTAAAATGAAATTTGGAGTTAAAAATTGAAATTGGCACAAATTATCTTCATTGTCAGAGTTTTTCTTCAAAGTAATTCACCAATTTCTGTTTTTCTTGTTTTAACTTATTTGTTCTGCCAATCCTGCTCCTGTGTCCTGCTCATGTGGTCCTAGCACTGGGTCTTGTTTATTCTGGGTGTGTGATGAAAGACTCCTGACGTCAAAATTTCCACACATGACTGCCAATCAGTTAGAGTTGGCAAAGAAGTTGAAAAATATTTTTCAACCTTGATATAGCCACTGTATTATTTAAGATTTTTCTTCTCCCCAATTTCAGCATCTCAAGAATTAAGATGGTGGTGGTGGTGATATTTTGAAAATAACTGTGTGTGTGAACTTGTGTATGTACCTAACACGTGCCCACATGTATGCTATTATTGACATATAAAATTGTATTTCTTATAATTGGATTTTTATGTTTAAATAAGTATGATAGCATAGTCTATACCCAACATAAAGACAAACAATAAGGAAAGGGCATAAGATCTAGCCAATTCTTTTTATATTCCATTAGCCAATAAAATATGGTGCTCAAACCATAACACATAGATTTAAGAGATAAAAAATTTAATATCAGGTTTTTCATTAATATACAATTTACTTTCCCTTCTTTGGGTCTTGATTTTGTTAGTATTTTCTAAGGTTCATTTAAAATCTATTATTGACTAATTCTATTCCTTTACATAGGCCAAAGTCTTATAGTCTGCTTGCTTCAGGATCACTTGGGAAGCTTACTAGATATATAGATTTCCAGACACCATGCAAGATATTGAATAATAATCACAGGGGTGGGGGATTTTGAAACTGCATTCCTTTCTTTTTTTGTGTGTATGAAAGGTCTTTATTGGTGGGGGAGGGAGGGTACAGAGCAGCACCAAGGAGAGAAAAAGAGAAGATAAAAGAGGAGAGAGAGGAAGAGAGAAGGAGAGAGAGGAGAAAAGGAGATAGAGGAGAGAGAAGGAGAGTGGAGGAGAAGAGAGAAGAGAGCTTTAATCTGCATTCTAAATAATTATCCAGGTGATACTTATACACACAAAATCCAAACAGCAAGCTATATTTGGAAGTGGTAGCTTTGGAGGTAGACTATACAGATGAGTCTTAATTCTAATACTTACTTGCTGTGAGATTTGGGCAATGATTCTTCCCTTCTCATTGCCTTTGTTTCCATTTCTCTAAGATGAAGGTTTGGATCCAATGGTCTTTAAAGCCCTTTCTTGCCCTAAATGTCTGATTCATTATGAAGTAAACCTTCCCTGACAAGGCTACTGTCTCTTCTCCATCAACTATAAAGGACAGGGAGGGCACCACCCTTTTAGATGGTACCAAGGCTTCCACTACTCAGCTGCATGTGTGGAGGAAGGGTGGAGGTTTTAGTACCAGGGAGAAGATGTTAAAACTAGCATTAGGAGCATGCCTGCTCAAGTCTGATCCAGCCAAGATAAAAGGAAGTAAGATTTCCTCAAACATTCAAGTCATTCAACTCATGCCAAGAGTGTTCTTCATGATGAAACATCCGATGGGCAATTACAGTTAGTATTCTAAATTACAGACTTTAAAAAATACTACCTTCTTTTGAAAAGATCATTCCAGCTAAACAAAAAGCACGTTCCCAGACTTTTGGAATTCATCTTCTAGTGAAATTTTCCCTGTAAATGTAAATGACTAATAGGCTGCTGGCTCTTTAATTTACCAAAGAGGTATATTAAATAACATTATAATAATGATAATTATAAAATAAAACAACTGTTTATCAATGCTAATGTTTCTTTACATAAATTAACACCTGAATGCTTTAAAGACATACTCTAAGAATAAGAACAGTTCTTTGAACTGAATAAATTTTGCTATTTGAATCACTCACTACATTGCCTTTAATGTTTTATTTTCCTAGCAGGCTCTGTATTGGAGAACCATGTCGGCAACATTTATTTAGATGAATAGTCTGGATTAGGATTAACAAAATAAGTCTCTCAAAAACAAGGATTGGCAACCATTTTCTGTACATTTCATTTTGAGATATATGTTTATTTTTGTTCATATTTTAAGGTAAAGATTGCTGAATTTTAATATGGTTAGTAAAACAATCCTCCATGATTAGAATGAGTTTGTAGTTCTTCATTTCTCCTAATTAGTTTGATTTTACTTAAAAGTATTATATTGACAGAATATCTATATACAATTTAGAGGTCACGTGCAGTGGCTCACGCCTATAATCTTAGCACCATCAGAGGCTGGGGAGAGAGAATTACTTGGGTTCAGGAGTTTGAGACCAGATTAAGGAAGAGGAAGATCCTCTCCTTACTACAAATATAAAAATTAGCTGAATGTGGTGATATGTACTTGGAAGGCTGAGGCAGGATCACTTGAACCCAGGAGTTTGAGGTTGCAGTGAGCTATAATGAAGCTACAGTAGTCTAGCTGGAGTGACAGAATGAAGCTCTTGTCTCAAAAGAGAATAAAAGAAAAACAGTTTAGAGTTGTTACCCAGCATCTAAAGCTTAACTACACATCAGAAAACAAATCTCAGAAGAGGAGCTGGCGGGTTTAGTCTATCAGCAGCTGTAAAACTGTGGAGGCAACATCTCAGGACTCCTGACTGTTTTGAATGAGCTCTCCATGGCTTTACCACCTTTAATCAGTGATAGAAAGCCACTGAGCAGTGCATGTGAAAGAGCTTTGAGCAATATAATTTTCTAAACAAATACAAGGCAGTGATTACTATTCCCCACATCTTAAGCAGAGAATATGATGAAAATTGTGGTTTAAAATAAGATAACTTGTCTCTCCATGCAGAAAAAAATTTGAAACCAGGAGGGAAAGTAGAACTTACTGTCTTGATTCAGACAGGAAATGGGGAGGGTTAATTTAGTTAGTAAATTTCGAATTGGTAAAAAAGACTCATAAAGAAACGCACAAAGGCTAACACGAGGAGAAAGAAATGACAATACTTTGATCTGAGGGTGTATTGGGGAATCTGAAGAGGGGTTCTATTATGAAAATATTTTTTTAATTAATTAATTTTTTTAAAATTTCACATTAATGTCAGGGTACAAACAACTAGGTTACAATGTTTGCATTTGTTAGGTAGAGTCCCTCTTGTAGTTGTGTCCCACACTCAAGAGGTGTGCCATATACCCTTACATTGCACCCCTTAAGTGGGGGACCACCAATCCCCTTCCTTCTTTCCCTCTTTTTCCTTTCTTGTTTTTGCTCCCCCAAACTTGAATTATTTCTCTTATGTAGGTGTATATTAGATTGTATACTGGCTTCATACTAGTATTGAGTACATTGGGATTCTTGCTTTTCCATTCTTGTGATACTTTACTAAGAAGAATGTATTTCAGTGCTATTCAGATTAATATAAAAGATGTAAAGTCTCCATCTTTTTTATGGCTGAATGGTAATCTGCGGTATACATATACTGCAGTTTGTTAATCCATTCCTGGGTTGATAGGCATCTTATCAAAAAATTTTAAAAATTAGAATACAAAATTTGTTTGGAAGGAAAGATAAAGAGTTATATGTTGAACATAAAAAAGTCAAGTATGAACCAAATTATTGATTAAAGATATCTTATATACCACTGAAAGTTGAGAAATAGAATTTGAGATATTTTTGAAAACTCAGAAAAAAAAGTTCTGATTCAGCAATGTAGAAATGAGAAGAAAATCAGGCAGAGGAAAGACACGCCTTTCAGAAATCTTAGTCTATTTTCCTCAAGTTTTGAGAACTGTGGTATCTTACTAGCCCAATTCTGACATTTCTTTCCCCACTTTGCCCTACAGAAGGGATTTCTGGATGACTCTGCAGAGCCCTTCTGCTTCTTCCCCACATCTGAGGGTCTACAGAGAATGGTTCTCTTCTGCCCCTAGCCACCATTCTAACATTTTTCACACAATAAGTGAAGAGAGTTCTCTAGATGTAGAGAAAGTGTTTGGCTAAAAGTTGCTATTTCTCCTACCCAAGCAATGAGCTAAGGACAGAAGAGCTTTATTTAAGCCACTTCATTACAAGTAGTCACTCCTAAGTCTTGGACAAAGAAGGAAGGGCTTTTAGATACTCTAGCCACATGGCATTGATCACTCTGTGTGAGTTATAGACACCGTTCAGAGCTACAGTTAGAACTACCAGAAGGTTACTTTCTGCACTCCTATTTCAGATATTACACAGTGACTCTCTACAATTTTGATAT